CATCGAAGATCCATACATTCTATAAAAAATTTTCATGAATACAGTCTAAAAACTAGGATTTATGAATGCAATTGAATCAAAAGAATCGTTTTCACAACCAGACACCTTCGATCTACATGAACCAGAAAGCAAAGACGAGAAACAGTTGAAAAAATGTGAAAAGGTGAAAAGAAAACAACAGAATTCCTAGAATTTTCCTAAATTAGGCGTCAACTACGTAGCAAGTGCGGTAGGCGTCACTGGTGCAATTGCGTCCAGCCGTTCCTCAAAGTTGTCCCGTTTGCATAGCCCTAATGCCCGGGTGTAGGTTAGGACTCCACGAGAGGTCACGGCTGCCATGTTTCGCCTCGCCGCGCGCGGCGATTGCTGCCGTGATTGGACGAGACCCATACAGTCGTGCGATTAAGATCCCGGTCCCTTCACATAGTTCTGGCATCACGCAAATCTGCTTGGCATTTTGCCAAACCAGAATATTCAATGGGACGTCAATATTTTTGAATGGCAGCTGTATTTATTCAACGGATTGCTGTATTCCTTTAATACGACCTACTTTTCCACCTGGCCGCAATCTTAGGCCCTTACAATACCTTACAATTGAGGGCAAAAGAAGGATTCACCCTAAAGTGAATTTTTGTAGATTGCTGATGTATTCTCTAAATATTATTTCTATGTAAATGGACGTTGTTTTATACTAATAGTTGAACATCGGGCCTACTCCTTTCATAGTTTTCACACCTGCAAGTAATAAAGCAGACTGTTGGAAATCTCATGGACTATGCAAACGCCGCGCACATAGCGAAAACTGCCGCGTCGCGGCGGCAGGTTGACCTCTCGTGGAGTCCTAACCGTTGCCCCTAATGCCCTATTCCTATTGAGCCCAACTCAGAGCTTACTGGACTGTCTTATAGGGCAGAAATATATGTATCTAATAGTGCAGAACATGTTGAGAACCAGTATGCAGCTCTATTCAGTTCGACTTTACAGCGCTCTCATTCACTGACATTCAAGCTAAAGAATGGGGAATCGTTGGAGGTCATGGAATGCTTTCTTATCGTTATCAAGTATCACCATCAGTGGATGTTACACGTTTGAAATTTAGTTAGTATAGTTTGCAGGGAGTTGCTCTCCAAAAGGGCCCCTGTGCGATGCATATTTGCAAGATCCTAATTTCCATCTGCGAATGACTTAGAACAACTTGAAGCTGTCTTGGGAATCATCTTCCTTGATCATATATATCACAAGTTCTGAGCTTTTGTAATTTAAAGAGCTGAGATAAAGGTGCCACAATGTTGTTGATAAAAACCATCACGTTTGGGTTTGGCCCGACTTGGACTTTAATGGAATATAAAAATACGACCAGAAAAAAGATGAAAGGAAGCACGTAGAAAGGCAAGCATGCCTCCTTTGAGCAGGAGCAGGAAATATCATCTATCTAATAAGTGTAGGAACATATTGGAAAACAACTGGTCACCGTTCCGATAGAAAATTTGTGTGAGAATAAAGAAACGCCATTACTCGGCAAGCAGCATCAGATTCGCAGACCGCTAATCATGAAGCGGCTCTCAGCAGAGTCAGGGCACATCGTTGGTTGGGGAATCCCAACAGGGGGGGGGTCGTATTTTGCCGCCAGGAGAGGGAGGGGGGTCGTAATGAGTGCGGTAGCCAGTAACGAGCATCAGTGTGCTGAGTCCCGTACAGCGAAATGCTTTGTAGAGAACACGGATATGTGAAAAAATAGTACAAAACTTTCACTCATCAGACTAAACCGAAATAACTGGAAATATCAATAAGTCGACATCATCTCGTGAGTGACTAAACAGTACAAATCATACTCTGGTTCGCTGCGGATGATGGGGCGTATCGCGCTTGGCGCTGAGCCAACCTGTTTTTTTTTTTCGACGAACGACAGGACTACCATATCGTTCGTATCAGACGTTTTCTAGCAGTTGGTCTCCCTCATCGGAATCAGCAATTGGCGGAGCACGAATCTGGCGGCGTCGACAGGGACGTCGACAGGGGAAGGTGAACAGTCTTCTAGCTTGGAGGCTAGACTGTTTGCACAGCAAAGGCGACCACGAGCCACTGTGATGGCGGGGGCTGTCTTCAAGTGTCTCTAGACAATAAATTGCCCATTTGGCCAAGTTGCAGTGGATCATTTGACTTAGCCTGGGAGACTCGTGTGTTCTGAGTACCTGCTGCTCGAACGTTTCTGGTTTGGTTTTGCTGCTTTCGGATTTATGAGGGCGCCACGATTGAGATAGAACTGGGTCGGATAAGTTGGCAGGAATGGTTTGGCGTTCGTAATGCGACTCGCCTATGGCCGGCATCGTGCTTGTAATGACTCCTATGCCGCATCTTACATGACGACTTCGAAGAAATGACGAAACTGCGGATATAAAAAAGTGTAGATATCCACTTGAAGGACCGCGGATTTGGGAGAAACGCGGAATCTGCCCAAAAAACGTGTATGGATATCGATATATCAATAAATTCTGCAGAATCGGCATTCTTCCAAAGCCGGGCCTTAAAGATCAGTCCCTGTCAGGTCGCTAACCGTCGTTTCAGCGCTTCTCTGCCTTCTACATTACTCTCCTTTCCGGGGCTCTCCTAACCGATACGCAGTGTCGTCATTTCTTCGAGTGGTTATGTGTGATTGTATTTACGATTTTGCGCGTTCTTGCTTATGCCGCAGCTGCGCGCTGCAAGTTCTTGTGGGAAGAAACAGGGCGAAAGTGGTTGACTCTGGAAGGAGTTCAGAAGGGACAGTGTAGTAATCTTCGAGGGATCGAGAAGAGATTCCGCCTCTTTGAAAGGGTTTCGGACGCTGATTGATTTGGAAGTCTTATCTTTGTGAATTTATGGCTTTCAGGTCCTCACAAAGTGAATAACTTCCCACTGCGAAGAATCGCTCAAGCCTTTGTCATCGCCACCAAGACGAGGCTCGATGTATCTGGTGTGAAGATTCCAGACCACATCAACGACGATTACTTCAGGCGAAAGAAGTTGTCTGGCAAGAAGGGAGAGAATATTTTCGCTGCTGGAAAGGTTGAATATCAGGTCTGTTTTAAACCGTATTTTCGTAACTGCAGGGTTTCTCAATTGTCGTCGCAGAGATGTTTGATGCTCTTTCTCTTGCTTGAAGAACAGTCGTTATTCTAGGTCACCGAGCAGAGGAAAACTGACCAGAAAGCCATTGACAAACCTATCCTGGCCGCTATCAAGAAAAACCCTGAACATAAAGCCCTCTTCGGTTATTTAGGATCGCGGTTCATGTTGGGTAAGAGGCAGTATCCTCACAAGATGGTGTTCTGAATTTTGTTGTTATCAATAAATTGTTGCTATTTTCTCGTCTTTTCCTCTGTTTTACTTCTGTCTTCAAATGAAGCTGAAAACATGGCCACTGTTGTGCCGTCGATGCTCGACTTGGAGGAATCGGCTCCTGGGCGAGGAAATGAGAGACTTTCAAAGTAGACTAATGGACAGAGATGTTCGAGAGAGTGAACCATAGAGTGTTGTAAAAAATCCGTGTTCTCGTACTCGTAACCGCGGGGTTTTCTGCGTAAAACTTGTGCCGATGTGACGACATATTACTATGCTACTACGATTGTGCTAGAGTGGGGTTGTTCTTGGTTTCTGGGCGGTTCCACGGGGTTTCTAGGGTCCCTTTTTGGATATCCAGGTATAGGGTTGCCAAATGTAAGCGATCGATTGTGCTGAAGTTAGATTGAGTCTAAGTCTTAGAACTGCTTGGAAATTAGATATCAATTCAAATACACGCTATAATGCCCTCAGCTCAAGACGAGCTCTGGTTCTGGGAGTGACAGTGGAGAATATCCACATCTTCGACCTCTTATGCAAAATCTTAGCAAATCTGGCATAGTCACAGAATTTTGGGGCTAATGGCGCCATGTTTACAATGCTCTTTCAGCTGAAGTTCCTTCAAAAATTATTTATTTCAATGCAACATACATGCGACATGTTTGCAGTCCCCTTCGTGGCCATCCGTGTGATAGCAATGTTGTAAATTACAGTGCTTCGCTTCACATTCCTTACGGCAAATTCCAGAAGCCACTGAAAAAAAGCCGTTGAAACCTCAGACACGAGAATCATCAGCACAACGAAACAGCTAACACCCCAACCATTACAACCTGGCTACAACAGAATTCTTATGATCAATTACTGCGCGTTGTTTGGCTCGGAAGGGAGTCTGCAGTTTTGCGACAACTATGGTTATGGTAGCCTGCAATTTTTAGATGGAGGGCAGGATAGGGATCATGGGCACAGTTATTATGGTTCCCCGATCAGGGTGTGTCGTATTTGGCTTCCGGCTTTCTGTGACACGATGTTCATATTGTGGGTTTTCCTTTCATGCGCACTATATACCCCCTCCCTCCTCCCACTCGATAGTGAAATTTCTGGCTAGAAGTATGGAAAAGAAAAGGGTTCCCGGAAAAGTGGTAAGAAGTGGGGAAAAATCTGAAAAATGGTAGAGTGAGGGGTCGTATTACCCTCACGCTCGACAGCTCGATGAGGAGGAAGCCAGAGGGGTCGTACAGAATCGACCGATTCCAAATAATTATATGCCCTATAGGGATATATTTGTCAAGAACTGAAATGTACGATGTGGCTCACTCGCTCTGACCCCGCTTCCCTAAAAAAATCGCTCCCTCCCAAAAGGCTCACGTGAAAGTGCACGCTCTTTCCTCCCGAGGTACAAAGTGCTCAGCAGATGTCGTCTATGTAATCAAACATTATCTAGTTCCTGGAGCTCAAGTCTGACCCGAGAACGGAACTTGAACCGCACCTCTCGCTAACGGGGCGGACGCCTTGTCAAACTGAAACACCTTCATTTATGCTTCAAAAATCCCGTTCTCCTTCTTGATACTGCAGAACGCCTGGATTGACAATCAAAAAGAGGATTAGAGTGACATCAGGGCATCACATTCATCCCTGAAGGGGAAATCTCTCATGCTAGTTTACCGCGACGCACACCTTCGCGGAATGCAGCACAGTGGGGGGGGATGGATGCAAGAGGCTCGCTCTCCTGAGCAGAAAGCATAACCTATGGCTCCACAACATGAACCAGTTTTCCACATCGGCCTTAAAAGGTTACACTAACCCCTTCCGAGCAAACTCTCCTTCGAATTCACTCAATTCTATTCAGAAACTGTCACTTACAGGTGGGACCCGACCTTTTAATCCTCTCCACGGCATTGGATGCGGCAATATGAATAATCGCCGCAATTAGCTGAAAAGGCTCTGCTGATGAACTACTTTATCAATTTTATCTGTAACATGCATGTCATTTTCAAAATGTACTCACCAAAAAAAAGAACACTTTTCTGGACATTTTAGACCCTGAAAACCAGATCGAAATGACAGGCGAGCGCATTCTTTCTCACGCTGCACTCGTACTTTGCGGCAGCGTCCACTAGCGTCTTCCAGCGTCTGCCAGTATCCACAAGCATTCACTAGCCTCCAGGAGTGTAAACTATTGCGCGACAGGAAGTGCCAGCGTCTGCTACGCAGCTGCTACCATCCCATCGCGCCATGCTCTCTACAAGCAGTCGGCTACTCTCCTATCTCCCATACCTTACAAACTGCCTGCTATCCTCTTATCGTACCATACACTCCACTCCCTGATCCCGCTGGGCGCTTGTAGACGCTGGTGGACTTTGGTGGACGCTGCCGCTACGAACGCAGTCTCACGCCGCATTCGTAATTCGTCTTTCCAACGATTCGGTCGCGCGACAACGACGACCGAACTGTCATTTGCAGCCGCTCACCACCCAAATCGCGAGAATGAATGGCTCGAGTCGCGAACCATGACGTAGCCTCAGAAGATGGATACTTCAACAAGCGCTGTGTTTCGGGAAGAGCCACTCTCCAGCGAGATATAGTCTTGTCCTGTTCTTAGACAAATTCACGTGATGCTTCTCGAGAGGGTGCAGTCAGAGAGCAGCATATACCGGGTAAGAGGATTTCACGCTCTCTCCATGCGAAGGCCAGACGAGCAGCCATGACATGGCTTAGACCCGCTGAAGAGCAACTATTAGGGAGGAGACGTTGTCACATGAAAGGAAATAGCCTTGGCACCTGAATATCTGCTAGAGACTGCTATTAGAGGTCGTTCAGACTTCGCGATCGCGCGGTTCAGTTCGCGCGGATTGGATCACGCGATCGCGATCCAATCCGCGCAAAGTCTGAACGCGCTCTCAGGTCGCTATCCGAAGGCAGTCTCTCAGTTCCCCACAACCCAACACACCTATATTTGTCCGTTGCTACGAAACGTAAGAATGGTGGATACCGCCATCCGCTACCATAAGCATGGGTAGGTGATGAGATAATCGTATGCCGCACGGTGCTCCGGTCGAAAAATTGACGCACGAAACTGCATATGGCCGCGCAGTCCATCGCGTGCGGCGATGGATTGTATGCATAAGTGCCGATTCTTCCATCGAGTAGAGCCTGAGGTGGTTGGTTGACTAGTCACTGCTCTCTTCTACGATCCACGCTCGGTTCAACAGCTTGCGAGCTTCTTCTCCTATGCAACGGATTCCTCCTCTTCCGAAGACCCTTGTCTGCAACATTGTCAAGCATGGCTCCGTGGAAAACTGCCACGTCTGGGTAAGCTGTGTGAGTCCTCATCGAGCGAAGATCCCATATAACCTGCCCTCATTGATACAGGGAGCTCATGTTTGAAGAGGTATCGAAACAATGGAGGCGGAGGTGGTGCAGTGACAAGTGGTGCGCAGCAAATCCTCAGTCCACTCCCGTACAGGTCAACCAAGCCCTACGAGGACGGTAATTGGTACCAGATTCGTCTGGGAGGATAAAACACTGACTTGTACATCGGCTGGCCCCCGCAAGTCATTGTATAGGCCACATCGCATTCAAGTAAGCCACTACGATTCTGAATGGAAGAAGAATGCGTGCCGCATCCCACAAAGCCATTGAAAGGGAACCATGTACTCGTCTTTCGGATACCCGTCAGGCTCGGAACCTCCCTCCTACTTTATTTCTCACAAGATTCGTTTTATCGATACTGCTATAGTTAGCTGCAGCTGCTTATAAATAACCAGTCGGCTCGCCGGCTAACGCCGGCGTGCCTCCTTCTGATACGGCCCGGCTGCGCCGGGCGGGCGCGGCTTCGCCGCGCGTATTTTCTTTCACATATTTCTAGACTCAACTGATATCCGCCTTTTGTTCTGTACTCCACTTTTTTCCGGTGTCTGAAGTACTCTTGAGCTATTTTACAGATTCTTCGTCTGACTCCGCCCACCTCGGAGCAGGCCCCGCCCACAATGTTTGTGCCCCACAATCTTCACCGGCGACCCTCTGCTGACCTTAATCCACTTTTTTCCGGTGTCTGGAGTGTTCTGGAACCGTTCTACAGAATTTTTGTCTGGCTCCGCCCACCTCGAAGCAGGCTCCGCCCCCAATTTTTGTGCCCCACAATCCTCACCGGCGACCCTCTGCTGACCTTAATCCACTTTTTTCCGGTCTTCGGAGTGCTCTGGGACCGTTTTGCAGATCTTTTGTCTGACTCCGCCCACCTCGGGCTGGCTCCGCCCACAATTTTTTGCCCCACAATCTTCACCGACGACCCTCTGCTGACCTTAGTCCACTTTTTTCCAGTCTTCGGAG